GCTCCTAAATTTTTGACTGTGCTCCTAAATTTTGTAATTTGTGCTCCCCTCCCTCCTCTACAGTAAGCGGCAAGGAAGGCTCTTGCATTGTGCCAAGAACATCCAGAAAAGGTGCCTGCCGAGAATTACAACTTCATATAACTATGAAAACAAGGCTCAGGGAATGTGTAAGATTATGTATTTAAGATCCTCCTGTAGAATTACAGCTTTAAGAAGCTGTGGGTTATGGTTGCACAGCGCCCCCGCTAGGACAGCTCCAGCACTGCGAGCAGTGAGGGCAGTAAGAGCAGGATGAGACACTCCCAAGTGATGAAGAGTCTGAATGCAAGCAGCAAGATCTTCCACTCCCCTCCGCTTCTGTAGCACAGAACCCGCTTGATGCCACGCTAGACCACACTCACCACCACCCCTGCCCCGTTACAATAAAGATGCATTTCCAACTGCTTATGTTGGTATTAATACTCAAGGACTACAAATCCCAAGTTTTTCAACATTCACTACTGTTCACAATTTTGGGTCAGAAAGATTTTTTTAAAATAAATTAATGCTTTTATTCGGCAAAGATGCATTAAATTGATCAAAAGTAAAAGAAAAGACATCTATAATGTTACAAAAAAATCTATTTCAAATAAATGCTTTTCTTTTGAACTTTCTATTCATCAATTAATCCTGAAATCATGTTTCCACAAAAATATTAAGTAGCATATTAATAATAATAATAAGAAGAAATAAGCACCAAATTAGCATATTAGAATGATTACTGAAGGATCACTGAAGACTGGAGTAATGATGCTGAAAATTCAGCTTACATTTACATTTTAAATTATATTAAAACAGCAGTTGTTTTAAATTGTAGTATTTCATAATATTTGTGTTTTTATTGTATTATTGAACAAATAAATGCAGTCTTGATGAGCATAAGAGACTTCTTTTTAAATATTAAAAAAGTCTTACTGACCCCAAACTTTTCAACGGTAATGCACCTATGAAAAAAGATGATTAGAGTTGTAGTTCAGTACCTGACATGGCAGTAGGCCAGAGCCCAGCCGTCCTCCAGCAGCAGTCTCTTCTCAGTACTGAAGGCCATATTGAGAACAACACCATAAGCTCCATATACATGCAGGAGCAGTGGAGCCTTATGCAGCTCAGATAATGCTGGCATGCGGAGGAGAGTCAAAGGCACCATTGTACCATCCTAAAAACACAGGCATTGGGCTGCTTTTTGTACCACTGTACCTTTAAGACTTCTCACATATAAATGACTCATACCTGACTGGCTGCCTGCAGGCGTGTGAACTTTCTATTCATCAATTAATCCTGAAATCATGTTTCCACAAAAATATTAAGTAGCATATTAATAATAATAATAAGAAGAAATAAGCACCAAATTAGCATATTAGAATGATTACTGAAGGATCACTGAAGACTGGAGTAATGATGCTGAAAATTCAGCTTTGCCTTCACAGGAATAAATTACATTTTAAATTATATTAAAACAGCAGTTGTTTTAAATTGTAATATTTCATAATATTTGTGTTTTTATTGTATTATTGAACAAATAAATGCAGTCTTGATGAGCATAAGAGACTTCTTTTTAAATATTAAAAAAGTCTTACTGACCCCAAACTTTTCAACGGTAATGCACCTATGAAAAAAGATGATTAGAGTTGTAGTTCAGTACCTGACATGGCAGTAGGCCAGAGCCCAGCCGTCCTCCAGCAGCAGTCTCTTCTCAGTACTGAAGGCCATATTGAGAACAACACCATAAGCTCCATATACATGCAGGAGCAGTGGAGCCTTATGCAGCTCAGATAATGCTGGCATGCGGAGGAGAGTCAAAGGCACCATTGTACCATCCTAAAAACACAGGCATTGGGCTGCTTTTTGTACCACTGTACCTTTAAGACTTCTCACATATAAATGACTCATACCTGACTGGCTGCCTGCAGGCGTGTCCTGTTAAACCCAGTGAGGGAGATGTACTTGGTGTTGTCCTCTGTTACGGAGAGCTTTTGTTCTCTGGAGGAATAGAGGTAGCGTACAGGTGGGTGCACTGGGGAGGACAGGAGGAAAGCAAATGACCCTCTGTCCACAGTTCCAACACCCTGCGGCGATAAATCACAGGCCCAGTGAGGAAGCTAAGAGCAAAACAGAAACATTAATGGAGTCTACAGCCCAAGGTCCTTTTAATATATCAAAGAGATTTACTGAACGTGAAGTTTCAGGTTGATACTTCATGGCATTTTCATGGCGAGAAATGAATAAAAGCAACATCTAAACGTGACAAAATGAATAAAATACCTTCTAAGAAAAAGACCGCAAAAAGAAACTATATCATATAACTAACTAAAAGTGCATGCTTACTTTACAGTAAAGGTTTCAAGGTTCAATGATGATATTCTAGGTCTTTCAAAATCTATGCTGTATTTCAAATTAATAACGGGTTCATTTCAAAATTAATATTACTATGCACTTCCATTCAAAAATTTAGGGTCTGTAAGATTTTATAAAGTTTTTGAAAGAAGTCACTTGTGCTCACCAAGGCTGCATTTAGTTGATAAAAAATACAGTAAAACAAGTAATATTGTGAAATATTACAAAGTAAAGTAACTTGTCTATTTTCATATATTATAAAATGTAATGAATTCCTGGTAATTGCAAAGCTGAATTTTCAGCTTTATTAAGCATCCAGTCATCAGTGTCACATGATCTTTCAGAAATCATTCTGATATGCTCATTTGGTGTTCAAGAAATATTTCTTATCATTATCAATGTTGAAAACAGCTGTGCTGCTTAATATTTTCCAAATTCATTGATAAATAGAAAGTTTAAAAGAACAGCATTTATTTAAAACATAAATCTTTTGTAACATTATTACTGTCTTTACAGTCACTTTCAATCAATTCAAAACTTCCTTGCTGAAAGTAATGGAAAAAAACTGAACTTACTAACCCCAAAATTTTGAATGGAAATGTATATATACATCATTGCGGTCTCTAGGACCCCATACGAACAAATGTATCAATTAAAATGTCATATATCCAGTAAAACACACCTACAATCTAAATAAAACCTGTCTCTTTAACTCAGCATCATTAAAAACACACTCTAGGCTGTTTTGTATGTGAATTTGTGATTCTTCTTCACACCTGGTGAGTGTTTAACTGATAGTGCTCTTGTGTGGTAAGAGTCTGGATCTGAAGTTGACACTGTGAATCTTTCACTGTGAACACACAGTGATCCTGAAGCAGCTCCATATCTTTAATGACTGTTCCAGGAACAGCACTGAACAATGGCACCCAGTGTGGCATTGATGGCGAAGCTAAAGGTGCCCTAAGCAGCTTGAGATTAGAGAAAGAAAAAAACGTCACACATAAACAACACAGTTATAATTTAGTTCTGAACAATACTGCTCAAGTCTGATACTGATACTCTTACCTGATACTCCTGGTTTGCTCCAGTGTTAGCAAGGATGAACAAGTAGTTGTCCGAGTGCTCTACGTGGTAAAGCAGTCCAGACTGACAAGACTGGATGTGGGTGGGGAATGAGAATGGAGTCTTGCTGTCAAAAAACCACACCTCTGAACTGATCTTACTGCTACAGTTACACCTTTTCTTCATAAACAAGGCTGGTTTGGACACCAGAATCACTGAGATGAAGACGGAAAACACATAGGCTCCTGTGTGCTGTAGTAGAGGACATCATTTGTGGCCCATTCTGCACAGAGAGAGGACATTTGAGGAGGAAAAGAATGTTTCTTTGTCAAGAAAGTTTCAATTATAGTAGATCTTACCAAAGCTGAGCACATTGTCTAAAAGCAACAGGGCCTTTTGACAAAGGATGACACCACCTAAATGAACCAACACACATCTGGTCTCCTCGTGATGGTCTTTCTTTACAGTGACGGCCAGCATGGTCTCTGTGGGAGAGAGTCTGACCCTCTGGATGGTTCCATATCCATCTCCTCCCCAATCGGCATTGAACACCTCCAACATCTCCTGCTCATCTGTATGCAAACATTGCTTTGTTTCTAGTTGGAACTTAATAAAATGTGTTTACATTGATTTCTTTTAAGTATCTTTTACCGTGTCCCAGGGTCGATCTGTAAATCCCTTTGCCATCTTCAAAGTATACATGATGCTGTTCCTGGAACTTGAGAAGATGTTGAGGGAATGTTGAGATTTATCATTTGTAAAATTATATAATTTACACACTTTGCACCACTTCAGTTGCTTACCTCTGAATTTTCTGATACAATTGCAAACTTCCTATGAACCGAATGCAATCTTCTTTTAAAACGCTGCTCTTGATCTCTGAGTTTCTGTAGTTAGGCTTTAGACAGCTCCACTGTAGTCTGAAAGGATCCCTAAATCAGTCTGTTTTTATTATTATGTATGCCATTGTGTGTGTGTGTATGTGTATATGTATGTATGTATGTATGTATGTATGTATGTATATATGTGAGTGTGTGTGTGTGTGTGTGTGAGAGTTTAACAAGAGGAATAAGACAACTGTAGCCAAGAATCTGCTAAAGAATCTGCAACTATGAATGAAGTAACTGGCCAAAATCACAATATTATTAACCAAAAATTCAACATCACAATTCCAACAAAAGGACAAATATTTTACAGTTTTATTAACAATTACATTTTAATTTAATAACTACATCCCTTGTATACAGTCATACAGGTGCATCTCAATAAATTAGAATGTTGTGGAAAAGTTCATTTATTTCAGTATCACAATATTATTAACTAAAAAACCAACATCACAATTCCAACAAAAGGACAAATATTTTACAGTTTTTAAATCAAAGTCAGGTATTACATACTTCAAACTTAACCAAGCATAGAGTTCATCCCATAACTTTTTAGAGAATTTGCATAAATAAAACAAATGTTCCAATGACTCTATGTCTGCTTCACAAAAGGTCCATTACAGTATTTCAAAACTAATATGCTACGAAAAAAGCTTTTTGAATCTGTTCTTTGAAACGAACTGTTCAAAAGAACCGATTCGCGGAAATGAGTCGGAATCTCCATCACTAATGGCGCTAAAATATGACATCTGGTCCAGGCAAGAGTAATCGAATCAACAATTTATAGATGATAGCCGATAGAGCGGAGTGTTCGATGACTATGGTAGTGAATTGGATTTCCTTTCCTCCTGCAACAAGAGGAGGCGGTGTACGGAAGTAGCATGGGATTTTATTACTAAGCAACAGAGACCAGCGCATACCGGCGAATTGGTAAAAACGGTAGTAAACTGTACCATCGACTTTAACCACATTCAGAGAACATATGCCAAATAAGCCTTCGCTTAGACTCTGCGTTCCGTTGTCGTTATACTGTGATAAGTTATTTTCCGCATGAGATAGGATCAGATCGAGCAGGTTGCTCTGTCATGAATAAAATTAAAGATCCCCCGTTTGCTGCGACAGAAATGCATGCGAACAATCTCCAAAATCACGACTCTCACTGTGGAACCGATGTGGCCCGTGCACGCTGGGCTCTTCTGCGACAGGTGAGGGGCGTTTAGTGAATCTCCTTCAATATGCAGCTGATTGCATGTGTTTGGTTCAATACGCGTAAATGTAATGCGTTATATAATGCGTTTTTCACGTTAGACATATAGATGTGTCTCAGTAGTAGCATTTTATGAATCTCTCACAATACAGGTTCTGAAACAGAAGCAGCTCGACAGTTCAGATGTTCAGCAGGTGTCAGTGCGAAGATTCTCCTCCTTTAACCTGTTCTCCAGGAGCAGGGTCACTCCCACAGAGACGGATGAGCCATCGGACCGGCAGTGGGTGGAGTACAGAAGTGCAATCTTTCCTCAGTACAGTGCCTTACTCAGGTATGCTGGAGAAAGTATTGAGTACACTGGAGCAGATGAAGCAATTTTAGCTTTAGGACTTTCATGGACTTATAGTTAAGGCATAGGTCTCACAAAAGCAAACTCTGCCATCTTTTACTCCTTCATGTTGTTCTAAACCCATATGATATTCTTTTTTTCTGTCAAACACAAAAGGTACATTTTCGAAGTATGCTCACTTCTTTTTTTCCATGCAATGAAAGTGAACGGAGACCAGAGTTGTCAAACTCCAAAAAGTAATAATAATATAATAAAAAAGCACCATAGAAGAACCATAAAGGTTACCATATGACTTGTATTCCAAGTCTAAATGAAATTTAAGTCGGAACTCATGCTAAGTATGAAAATATTTCACATTTCATATATTTCTCTGAAAATATATTCATCCTTCCCTTACATTATGGATTGGACATTCTGCGAATAAGCATTTTTATTTGTTTCAGAATGGGTGAACTATGAAATAATTATTTTTTGGTTTAACTGCTTCTTTAAGTCTTTTGCTTATGTCAGTATAATTATTAAATGCATTAATTTGATCACATTTCATTTAGCTAACACTAATGTTTTGTAATTATCGCATTATATATTTACAACTCTAACATTTTTATTAATGCATTTCAGAGACAATCTTGGTCCAATTAGAGTGAATGAGGTGCTCAGCAGCTTTGACAACACAGGAAATGTCTGTGAGTGACTCTTCTATGCATGTTCAAGTATTCATATGACAGTTTTTTTTTGTGTGAAACTGATCACATAGAGGTAATCATGTTCTTTTAATGCAGTCTGCCTACTTTCTGATTATGAATGAACAATATTTCACTGTAATCTTAAACAGAACATATCCTATGGCAGGCAGCAGGGGGTCAGATCAAGCTGCAGCTCCATCATGCACCAGAGGCAGGCACACTTGAGCCTTAGAAGCACCTAATTATAAGCAACTTATTGACTCCTCCTGTCTGTGCCAGGAGTGTTAAAGTACCTTTTCTTTCCCAGCACACGTCTGAACAATCATAACGTTCACTGTTCAGGAGTCAGTATGTTGTATGGCTATACAATTAAATAAGCAATGTACATATCGGAAAATTACAGCAAATATTTAAGTTGGCCAAATTGGAACCTTATAAGTGAATATAGGTGACTGAACAAAGTTGCACAATCAACTAGTTGCAGAAACAATTAACTGATTTAATTGTTTCCCATGAATTGTAATCCCTGTGTACTGTAAATATATTTATGCCATCTCTGTGTATTAAATGGTCAGCGAAATGCACATTTTCATGTTATACGCTACTGTTCAAAAGTTTGGGGTCAGTAGGTTTTTTTTTGTTAAAAAAATTCTTTTTAATACTTTTATTCAGCATGGATGCATTAAACTTAATAAAAGTGACAGTAAAGACATTTCTAATGTTACAAATAAATGCTGTTCTTTTGAACTTTCTATTCATCAAATATGACATGATTAATGCAGCCTTGGTAAACATAAGAAATTAAAAAAATAAATAAATATAAACAAATAACCTTTTACAGACCCCAAACTTTATGCAGTATATACAAGTTTAGATGTTCTATACAGCAGTATATTGTATAGCTGACTCTCTGATAAATTTGCTGTGCAAAGACAAAACACAATAACTACTATTTTGTCCAAAAGGAATTATGATGGAAATCCAGTCTCTTAGGGTATGATCTATTCTGTAACTGACTGGTTTTGCTCAGCTGTGCTCAGATTAAGAGAAAATGAGTGGTAAAATGTATATGAAATCAAAAATCCAAGCCATTTTCCTTAAATTAAGCAATTATAGTTACTGTGCTTTGCCTTTGAAGTGCAGTGCTGAAGTGACAGTTCACTTAGAAATGTAAATTCTGTCATCATTTATTTACCCTCATCTGATTCCAAACCTGTATGACTTTCATTATTCTGTTGAGCACAAAAGCAGTTTTCAGCAGATACCCCAGTGGCTCAGATGTTTTTAGTTGACGTGTATCTGAAACTTTTTTTTTTTTAGTCAGATGTCCAGGATAGTGTGGTCCTATACTGATTTCCAGTGGCTTGTGGACTGATATGCCTTGAAATATTTGTTTCTTTTACTGGATTAGCGAAAAGGGGCAGCATGGCTCTCTTCTACGGCAGGGTCATCGCTTCTCTTTTCAGACCTTCCTCTCAACCACCCTTAATGGATCTTACGCACTGGTAAGCCCAAACATCTCCCCCTATGTCCTTGTCAGCTCAGCTGGGCAGGCTCATTGTCTGCAAAGGGGGGTGCCCCATGTATTACCCACCCTACATACCCATTTTAAAGTCCTCATCTCAGGATTTGACAAGCCGAAAGGTCTCTATGTCCTCTGAGGCACTGAATGTGGATTAGCTATCCAAATGTATGGATTACGGTGATCCAACTTGTCAGGGTTGGAAGGGTTGACGGTGCTGTGGGTTTAAGTGCTGTTGTTTCCAGCAGGGATCAAGAGGGACACAAAAGGTCTTATCTGAACATGCTGGGTGGACATGAAGAGCTTTAGAGAGGCTTGTTGACCACTGGTTTGGATTCAAACATCAGCTCTTCCACTGTCATGTGCTTGGGTCAGAGTTGGTTTAAAAACTAAAGAGAAAATGTAGTTGTTGCATACGTAGTCATTTTAGAAGAGCTCTTTGCAGCCAGATAATGTAGTTACAACATCTACCAGCACGTGCTAACGATACAATAGGTGCTTTCACACAGTCTTTTCCAGAAAATGACTTGTAAATTGCTATTTAGAGATCATGTGTGAACAAAGCATGAGATTACCAGTATAAGCATGTAAGAAATCTGCTTTGGAACAGTGATTAAGTTTGTGATTTTACAGTGAACTCTGGTGCTTTTTAATTGTTTTTTTTAAAGCATTAGAACATGTTATAGATGGCTAGGCATCATTGGTCATTGCTTCGGCTGTGCATTTTGCCCCTGCATCACCAAATAAGTCAAAGAAGTCAAAAAAATTTGTCAAATTGCACAGATAGTGAAAATAAAGTGCTTCTCCTTTACCGTTTTCTGGTATTTTGGTGCTGATAAGTGAATGTAGCAATAAAATAAGAATACTGTTACTTGTATGAACTCCATATGTGTTATATATATACTGGAAAAATAAATATATAATTATAAAATAATAATTTTCCAAGTTTAATGTTGGAAAGCGGCCTGTACTTTCCAGCCAAACCTTTGCTGCTTAACTCCAACTCTTTTGCAAGGTTTGATTACAATGGTTGACTAGTCATCAAACGATCAACTGGTTGATTAGTGAGGTCAGCTAGTTAACACTCTCATAAAAGTTGTATCTTTAAATTTATGCTCTTTAAAGCACCATCACTGCAGTCATACAGTACATCTTTGGCCGATACATCACGTCTTGTACTGTATTTTTAATAGCGTTCAACAATACTAAACAAACAAAACATGGGGTAGCATATTTCATTTTTTCCCCCACAAAATACTACCACAAAATACAAACCTCAGTGGGTATTGGTAGGTTACTATTAGCCAGTCTAGTCAGGGTCTTTATCCTGCGTCCTCAGGTAAAACATTCTTTAGAGGGGTCATATGATGGGGTGGAGGAACTGATCCCCATTAAAAGCATGACATTCAGGCTTACTAACAGGCAACGCTCAGTCTCAGCAGGGTTTCCTCAGAATCCATGCAGTTACCACGAATCCATGTGTGATGTGACTTTTTCATAGCTTAGTAAGTGTTATTAGTGTGTGTGTATTTTTATTTGAATCATGACTTTGTTTGTGTGTGTTCAATGGTCTCCACTCACATGCCCGTCTGTTTTACCCCCTGCTTGGGCAATTATGTAGATTGGGGGACCCGGTGTACTAATTGCTCAGATTGAGGCTGTCCAACGAGACCTGGTTAGACCTGCAGAGGTCAGAGGTCTGGCTCTCCATCTCTGCCTTATTCTCCTCTCCTGTGTCGGTGAGAGTTAATTAACGCTGCTCTCAGACTGTTTACAGGATGGCTCGCTGACCAGACTCAAGCCTTCATTACTGCAGACCTGCCTGTTGAACGTGTGCAGGCAGGGTCCAAAATTACCACTCATGAAGCGCCGAATTCCAGTCAGAATTGTCTTTGGCGAGTAAATAAAACAGTTTCTCGCCAGTTGGCTGTAAACTTTATTAGGAACTGCCTCGTTATTGTAAGCAGCATCATGAATGTGTGTATATATATATATAGATATATACCCACCATTTCACTTTGTCACTTTCCACAGGACCTTGTTTTCATAGTATTATAGTACCGTATTCTTTATTCTCATAATTTGGATTAAAATATTACATCTTTAGGAAAAAGTTAAAACTGTAGGATTTTAATCTCAACCAAGGTCTATTGAGATTCGTTTTTCCTATTTCAATTATGCTATATTATAATACTACATATCAATATTTTAGTTATATTGTCATGTGACACTAAAATGTTTTTTTCAGTTTATTCAAAGTTAGTTTTGAACCCTGTGTGCAAGAGCTCGGTGTCAAAGTTTCCAAAGCTCATCATACACAATGAAAGTGTCTTCAATCAGTGCCACTGGTGAAAAGGCCAAGAACTGCTTTCATAATAAAACCACCTACAGGAAATTTTGCCTGTGTTTGAGTGACCCAGAACTGACCAGGACTCTGTGCTGAATGATAAATGACTGACCCAGATTAATGTTATGTGAAGCATTATGTGAAGCATTATTATAAAACATAACGTTCTTTTTCTGGCTATGTGCTAGATGGCATTATAAAAGGATTTGCTGCTCTATATAAGCACAAGTATAAAAGCAAATGTTCCTAATCACGGCTACAGGGGTCAGCAGTGGGGTGAGCTGTATCAGAGCTAAGAGACGTGATAAAAGGAACCCTGAAAGAAAGAAATTACAATACTAGACTTTGCAGGGATATTGTGCGGGGTCTAATGCCACAGTAATTACCAACATACCTTAGCAGCCAGGTAACACTTTTTTCTTTTGTTGCAAAGGTCCCTTCTAGTCTGGAATTAGAAGGGAGGGTGGTGAATGAAGAAAGTAATAACACCCTAGAAATACACTCTCCAGACTTGATTATTAGACTTTTTCTCCATCATTTTTCAAGTTTTATGCACCCTTTGCCCCTCATGCATTACATTTGTGACTATTCACTTGGTGTGAACTAACTAGACTCAAAGGTAACGCTAGACTTGATTACATTTTTTATGGAGTTTGCATAATTTTTGTCATAAAGATGTAAATTAGTTTGATGATTTTACTACAGGTAAAGGGTGTTTAAAACCCAGTGTTGGGCAAGTTACTTCCAAAATGTAATACATTATATATTACTAGTTACTGTCTTTTGAAAGTAATTAGTTACATTACAATATTACTGTCTCTGAATTGTAATGCGTTACACTACTTTTGAGTTACTTTCACCAAAATATCCACAGACTTATGACTAGGCATTCTAAAATGCTAAAATGTAGTTTATTGCTGCTCATTAAACATCCAGTAGTTCATAATGTGCTAGGTATATAT